AAACAGTGGTAAACYACTTGATGGATGTTAATGTCCTGTATTTCCCTCGTCAATGATAATACTAACGATGAAGAACAAATTCTTGAAGCAACATAATTTCTATCTTCGTCAGGCAGGTACTGTACAACGTACTCCACAACATACGTCAAAGGGATTGGATCTGGTGCAATCACGGATAGAAAACGAAATGCATGAAGCATAATCTCAGCATTCATTTCTCTCCGTAGAGCTAAATTCACGGCAGCAGTCATGGTTGTTTTGTAGGTCAAGCTAGTTTTCTCATAAACTTTTTCTAATCTCTCACGTTCCTTCTCAACCTGCTCCAGACATTGATGCCACGAGTACTGTTTGTTAACGGTGCGAACACTTTGCATGTAAACTGCTGTTGAGGATAAAGCAAGTGGCTGGAAGTCCAGCGCTCTTGATACTTTCAGCATGATGTTGTTGTCCTCAGATCTATAGCCTGATACTTCACAAAGTACTTCAATTGCATCGTTTTCTGTCATACCAGAACTGATTGAAATGTGATGGCAGTACGAGCTAACACCAATGGAGGGACTATCTTGTGTGGTGACAAGAATCTGTCCCTTGCCACTTGTCTTTTCTCCACTTTGTGGCCAGTATTGAGAAAACGATTTCAGRTCGACAACATTATCTACAATAATCAGCCATGATGAATACTTGGTCACTTGGTTATTAGCAACGGATTTTAAATGAAGAATTTGTTCTTCTTTGGAAAGATCTTTTGATGTAGTAATGCTTGTTATGCAGTCTTGATAGCAGTTTAATCTCTCAGCAAGGATTACGTATGAGTTGAGTATTGCATCCAAGGTAGAAGCATTAAGCGTCGCAACGAATCTTAATGTCTCTTTGGAGTCATCACTTTTGTAGTACTTCTCTCCAACTTTTCTTGCCATTACGCTCTTCCCAGAACCTGGATTTCCAGACAAGTAAACTGTTGTCGTCTCTCCATTTTTTTCAGTTGATAATTGTTGCATCGCTTGGAATAAATCGTCAACCTCTTTAGTTCGTTCCATAGTATCATGAGAGGGTTGAGGAGGCAGCAGACAAAACGATTTCGGTTCTGTATTACGTTGCTTTTCATCTTCTAACTCTTTTTTGATTGTTTCCAACTCTTTCTTTACTTCATCAATTTGTTCTTGTGTTATAAAATCAGTCCGTTTTTCTATTTTCTTGATTTTTGTTGTATCAAGCTTCAACGAAGAGAGTGCTACTTTGGTCTTTTGAATGGACATTTTAAACTCCACATCATTCAGCTTTCCAACGTTTTTGTGTGCCACTACTTCATTGCGAATTTCACGAAGATCATCGACACTAGTTTTCACCACAGGTCCTATGTTGGATCCCACGCTACCTGAGAACAGTATTGCATGAAACAAACTTGTACAGTCCCACTTCGCTCTGTTTCCATTGGACATCAAACCTAAAAGACGTCTTTTTCTCGTTCGACTGCCTGGTGACTCCATACTATAAAAAGAGGCATAACTGACAGGCGTGTCATCCCACTGACCATGCGCAGTTGTGTATAAAGCATCCCATTCTTGTTTAAAGATCTTTCTCAGACCTTCAGGGACGATATCRAAGACGATGTGACACAGCCTGAAGAAGTTGAGCTGTTCATCTGAGTATTCCATTGGATCTGTTATTTACGGAAATCAAAAATTATTGTTATTACTGATGTCGGGGTGGAGTGACATTGTACTGATTTAATCTTTTCTGATTCACCTTTTTTTGCTATGCAGCGATTTTGTTTTTGGTAGGTTGTGTTCTTTCAATATAAATGGGTTATTTTCAATATCTCCACTCAATATAGCTGCCAATGGACGCTGGATTGGTTATTAATATAACTTCTTCGTATGTATTAATCCGCCCATCTGCTGTTAAACTATCAGTACACTCTCGAGAGAGACTTATGTTTTGTATTTATCAAAAAAATACTTAAACTTTGTTTATGTTGTGGCTTCCTATTTAATTTTGAATTTAATAGTGTTTATTTCTTACCTGGAATATTCTATGCTAGAAAACTATTTGAAGCAAATTCTTGGTATTACGCTGGACCATCATCACTGGAGTAGGTTTGGGTACAGCTAGTGTTTATTGCCACTTGTTACAAGTTTATGGCCACGTTTGCTCTATTTTCTCCAGGATAGTTTTAAAAGTAGCCGGTTTGTGGCACGATCTGCATAAAATGAAAGTGAATATGAAAAAGTTACAATTACTGAAACTTTTGAAGACGCACGCAGCAGCACTGTGGCTTTCATGTCGTTTTATTACGTGGGCTTCCTGTGGAATCTCACGTCTTAAAATGCAAGTGGCTTTTCTTCGTCATGGATATTACACGTCAAATTGGTAGCCCCTGCGTTGCAGATGGTCTGCAGTCTCAGTTTCATGGGGATGTAAAACTTCACCAATCCGAGCTTTGTTTTTTTGACATGTATTGTTTTGTACTGTCGATCGGCTTCGTGGCCTGTTAACGATAAACCTAAGTAACTA